TTTCTTTCTTTCTTTCTTTCTTTCTTTCTTTCTTTCTTTCTTTCTTTCCTTTCTTTCCTTTCTTTCCTTTCTTTCTTTCTTTCTTTCTTTCTTTCTTTCTGATGGAGTCTCACTCTTGTTGCCCAGGCTGGAGTGCAATGGTGCAATCTTGGCTCACTGCAATCTCTGCCTCCTGGGTTCAAACAATTCTCCTGCCTCAGTCCCCCAGTAGCTGAGATTATAGGCGCTCACCACCACACCCAGCTAGTTTTTTGTATTTTGGTAGAGATGGGGTTTCGCTCTTAAGGACATTGTTCATTAAGTATTGATTGGTGGCCTGCCGTTGAACTAGTGTTAGTGTAGTACTGACATCATCAGCCACGGCAGAAACTTACTTGGCATCTCTGGAAAAGAGGGCAGGGAAGCGTAGTGCCCTGAAACTGCCTCATTCTCCAGTGCTACTTCCAACTCTGAGCCGATGGTCATTATGAGTGCATCTGCCCTGGACAAGTAGTTTAGTGCAGCTGCCTTGGACAGGCAGGTTAAAAGTAACAAACCACCACAAAACGCAGCTAATAAAATGTCAGGAGAGACTTGGGGCGCCAGGAAGGGGTGAGGCCTGTCTCCCTGTGTGCCATCTGTATGGAGCCTCAGTACCTAGGGGACAGCATTTACGTGGAGCCTGAGGTTTTTATTAGCGTTTCCCTGAATAAAGTGCCACTTGTGAGCTGCGGACTGGGAGGCTCTTTCTGATGATCAGGTTTCGTAATGTGGGATCGTCAGTAGGCAAGGTGGACCTGAGGGCCGTCGGATCTGGAGACTGTCCAGGGCTGCTCTCTGGGGATGACAGGCTTGTCCCTTCAGCAGTCAAGACACCAAAGAGAGTCTTTCTGAGAATAAAAGAGAGAAGCTTTTAAGGAAAAAAGCAGTTTCTCTCTCTGGGAGTTGAGTGCATTTTCCCGCATTTATTCGGAGATGTTCCTCGGTTCCCACCACGTGCCGTCTATGGGGTAGGGTCACCCCACCGCGTACCTAACCTAGGAAAACTCCTCTGCAGTTATTTCAGAGGCTGTGTGCATTTCTCTTGCCTCAGTGGATAGAGTGAGTTTTTCTTCCTACTGTTTTTAGTCAGTTTTCTTAATCTAGCCTGTTACTGGGATAAGTTTCTGAGCCGAGCAGTTTTAAAAACAATCTTTGTACCTTGCGTAGAGAGCAGTCCACCTGTAACCAGTTTGTTCCTGGAGGTACCGCGGTGGCCTTGGTTACACGAGGGCCCCGTGGCTCAGGATGGGCCAAGGAAGGAGTGCGCGAGCAGTGGGCACTGGCCGGAGGCAGGGGAGGCGTGGCCATCTGTGGCTGGAACGCCCCCCATCCACTGTACCTCACCGCTGGGACGTCAGCGCTCTTGCCCTGGACGTTTTCTCTGAATGCTCAGTGCCCAGGCTCTTGGGTACACAGGCGGCCCCGGGTTTTATTTGGAAAGGGTGTCGCGAACAGTGAAGTAAC